GTAAAGTAAGGTTCAAGATCAATTACTAATATATGTTTCAATTAATTACATCATGGCACTGTTTTAGATTCAAGTTATCAGCAAACAACCATAATAGAAGAGCATATATTTTTAAATATTTATTATTTTTATTTGTGAATATTTTTTCATTTCATCCTGTTACTTTTTGCTATTGAATATAAATCAATAACCACCTTAGGGTTCTTAACAATTATAAGCTGGCTATGAATATAAATCAGTATACTGTGATTTAGAAAAAATGTTCTATGAGAAACCTTTGGAAATTGATTATTATATAACGTTATCAATTGATAACTTTTTCTTTAACTGTGTTTCTGATAATTTGTTCATTAATTTTTTCTTTGTAATTTTTAGGCTAATTCGCTTGCACTTTTCTACTTTTATATCATGAGTCCATATTGTAATAAATTTTAATGTGTTTATTCTGATTTTCATTTTTAGCTTCGTTATGTATTACCATAACTTCCATAACTTCCTAATCGTCTGTGCTTGTGAACTAATTGGAAAAATACCCCTTCAATAACAGTTTTTGTGAAAACAGAAAAATATAAACAGAAGTTGAAATAAAATATATATTTATATCAGTAAGATATGCTCCAACTATTTCACAAACTACATTACAAATTGGACTGCTGAAAAAACTTTGTCTATGCTATTTTACTATTTAGTATGGCTAATTGAATTCTTTCACTATTCAGGATGGCTATTTGGAACCTCGCTAATTTAGCTTTTCATTTGATTTTAATCAATTTTGTGAAATAAAGCAAAACCCGCAAATAAATTTAAAGCCAACGAAAAGTTTAAAACATTTTAGATATAATATAATACAAATTATCAGATGTTTTATGGAGATTTTTAATTACGGTACGGGAAGTTCCAGCAATTTGCCTTAAGGCTCGATGCCATGCACCCCACTAGTTAATAAATATGCTAACAGATAAATTTGATTATAATTCTTCTTCCATAGAACCTAACTATATATTTCAGAATTAAGGCGACACCCTGAATCATATTGGTAGAGTGGCTTGGCACACCACAGTTAAAAGCTTGCCGACCCCTGCTATAGACTGTCCTCTAATTCTTAACCAACTATTCTTTAACGTTCATAGGCTATATTCGCGTTCACAATTATTTTTCAATTATCCTACTCTTAATTCCAATTTTCACTTAATTAACTTTGTATGCCATCGTGGCTTAAGGTAAATTGCTGGAACTTCCGGGACCAGAATTATATATTCGAGGAAAAAAAATAGTAATCAATAAAAATTGATCAATAATTTACAACAATTGTTTTATACATATTCACATAGATAATTATAATCACTATATATATATTATCTTTCATAAAATAAACAGTACGGATCTTATCGCTCAAAGCACTTGAGAAAGTTTACATTAGTAGGAGGTGAATGAATGAATCTATCTGAGGATATATTTCTTACGATTAGAATAACGCATTTGAAATATATACATTTCGAAACCGAATTGCAAATTCAAAATTCATATTTGAAGTAAAACTTTGTATATTTTTGAAAATTTTTTTTCGGAAAATTTTGAAATTTGCTTCAACCGTATACAGTCTAAGAGCCAGTGAACTATTTGACTAACCTGTTTTCTCAAAGCTAGAAATTTTTTTAATGATATTTTATTATCGGTACATTAAGAAAGTGCCGGTCTGGGAAGCATCTCGCGATTGCGTCATCATCCCTCGAGTTGCTTTCACAAGGCTCAAATTTTGAGGGTGTATTCTTTTAACTGTTTAGAAAGCATATGTAAAAAGCCAGACCATTCTGACGGTTGCAAGGGTTTTCCAGGCGAGTACATAATAGTCACGACGCGCAAGGGTGTTGACGCATTGCCATACATAATCGACCCTTATTATAATATATATCAAATACCCTTGTATTTGAATAATTTATACGCCATTTTGAAGGTCATTTTGAAAACATCCGATACACCAAACTTCAACTTTGTATCTCACCTTATGGCCGAGATACGAGGTCTGTTCAAAAAGTACCCGGAATTTTCGTTTTTTCAAAAAAATATTTATTTATTCGTCTACATTAATGTGGTTCCCTTCAAAGTAGTGCCCCCCAGATATAATACACTTATGCCAGCGTTTTTTCCAATTTTCGAAGCACCCTTGATATTCACTTTTTGATATGTCCTTGAGCACTCTCAGCGATTTTCTTCAATCGAGGAAAACCGCCGTCCTTTCATGGGTCTCTTCAACTTTGGGAATAGGAAAAAGTCACACGGAGCCATATCTGGTGAATTTTTGCACTTTGCAACACTTTATTTCATTTTTTACGCAAAATTTAATACAAATTCTTTGACTTTTCAATTCTTCCATTGTAAAAATCGCCGAGCTCAGAAAAACACGTCGAACCTTAGCGACTACCACAGACAAAGTAAACAGTGAATATAGCTGAAAATTTCATCATACTTTAGGGGCATGTATACCAACACAATAAAAAGAAAATTTTGACAATCAGACACTCCAGACCCGCGAAATTTAATTATTAGTAATTCCGGGTACTTTTTGAACACACCTCGTATCATTGAAAATATGCCAAAGTGGCTCCTTTTTCAATCTCAATTTTTGTCGTAACCATAAAATAATCATTCAATTAATGTTTTCGGATAGTGCGTTTTGTTTAATTACTTTATTATTAGCGTTATTCGAAAGCCTATTGTTTTCTCTTTTAGTACTGCAAAAACACATTGAAAAATTGAATTGAAAATTTAAAACATTTTACTTGTAATGACGAAATGATGATATTTTTGGTACGGCAGTTCTAGCGGTTTAGGAGATACAGAGGAAAAAGTAAACAAAAAATTATATTTGGTGGTCAAAAATGAACATGAGACGTATGCATATCAAATTATCAGATATTTTATAGAGATTTTAACAATAAGTATAAATTTTGTTTACATTCCTATGGGTTCCGTACCAATGTTCATCCGTTAGAAGGCGACGCGGCGCTTACGCGCTTCAATATTTTGTCTCTGTGCAGTTAAAACAGTACGATTGCTTTGAAAAAAAGTTCAGAATTTCCAAAATATTTCAAAATAAAGAAAACATTTTTTTTTCAAAAAATCTTTTTTTTACAAAAAAATTTATAGTTTGTCAAAAATCTATTTTTTTAAGTAATTTTTTTTCAAAAATGTTGATATTTAAAAAAAAAATTTGGTACGGGAAGTTGCAGCAATTTGCCTTAAGGCACGATGCCATGTGCCCCACTAGTTGCGCCCGAAATTGTGGACGAAAAATTGTATCCAAACAAACATGCATACTACACACTCATACATCAATTTTTTCTGAGGTATGCCAAAATGTTCAGAAACCTTTGAAACGTAAAGATATGCAAAAATTTTCATTTTTGATTTTTTTTTTATTTAGATTGTGACAGTTGTTATATTGAAAAAAGCTCCCAATATTTTAGCAAAAAAATGAATCTTTGTAACTCAAAAAATTCTAAACAATATAAAACGATATTCTCTGAGCATATGTCCTAATTGATTTTTCAATATATGGATTTTGTTTTAGTTTTTCTTCTGGTTTGGTATGTGTTATAAATTAGTATTTCTTTTTATTTCGACGTATTGGCTGTCATACTACATATATAAAACATATCAACATGTTTGAATGTTGAACAAAAAAAGTTAAAAAATCTTTTTTTCATCTTGTGAATACAAGCAAAATGTTTTTTACCACTTTTTGTCCTGTATCTTCCAAACATATTGGCCAGCAAATTACATTATATTTACAAATTCCAGCTCGTCTCGTCGACAGTGTGAAATAAATGTATTTTGAATCATTCAGCACGTCTTTCTGTCAATAGGAATCGAATGTTCAAATTGGTTGATCCGTATGCTCAAAACTGTGGAAAAAAAGTATCCGTACAAAACACATAACTACACATACACACACATGCATTTTTTCTGAGGTATGCCAAAATGTTCTGAAACCTTTAAAACGTAAAGGCATGCCTACATGTAGATTTTCGATGTTGAACGATTACGATAACTAACCCTTCGAAAAGTTAAAAATTTCAGTTTTCAAAAATTGCTTAGTTTTCAAAACATTAAGAATTAAAATTAATCATTCAAACATTTGAATTTTTTAAAAAACTTCACGTCAAAAAAAATTCAAATTATTTTAATTTTAATAATTATTCAAAAATTCGGATTTAAAATGAACTAATACGTCTTATGTTTATGAAAATTATATAAACTGAATTGCAAAGATAAAACTATTTATTAAACGCTTATTTGTGAGCTTTAGAACTTTTGCCAAATTTAAAATTAAAATCCGACATATTTTTTATATACAAAAAAAAAATTGGGAAAAAATTAATTTAGTAATTTTTGTAAAAAACAAAGCAAAATGGTTGGATCTGCCTTTGCCAAAAACTAATCACAACTTCTCCATATCGTTACGAATTGAATGATTTCTTGATTTCTTTTTTTTTGCACTTTTTGCTCCGTATCTCCGTAACGGATGGATCTGCCTTTGCCAAAAACTAATCAGTTCATCTCCCTATCAATAGGAATCGTTTTTTGAACTATTCAAATCGGTTGATCCGTGCGCCCGAAAACGTGAACGAAAAAATGCAGACATACAAAACACACACATTCTTTTTTTCTGATGTATGCTAAAATATTCAGAAACTCTGAAACGTGAAGAATGCAAAAATTTTCATTTTCAATTTTCGGCCCATTACTATAACTACCCTACAGAAAGTTAAAAACAAAATTCTTACGTGTTCAAAAATATTAAAAATTAATCAAAATTGTCAAACAAATCTCAAAAACTGGTTTTTACAAATTTTCAACAAGAAATTATGGTTCTAAAAGTTTTAAATTATGGTACGGGAAATTTTGCTGAAGGCTTTATTTGAAACATGGATCTTCTACAATATAAAATGGAATTGTTATCAAATTATTAAAACAAGTAAAAAAACTTTTTATTCATTCATGTTTCTTTTATTTATTGGTCTAATAGTAATTCCAATATCAATAGTTTGGTCACTCCAATCCTAAAAACCATATTATTCCTTGCACTGCTGACAAAATCAACGGCTGCCAAGCTATTAACCATCTAAGCCAATCCAGAAGCTGTCCATATAAAATATGAGGCCTCTCCCATCTATTCTAAGTTTAAGAAAATCATTTTTTACCACAATTTAAATTTTAATTTTAACAAAAATATTTTTTACAAAAGACAATTTTACATCCCACTGTAGATGAAACAGATATAAATATAATCTTATCTATATAAATTTAGTGTCACGATGTTTATCACCTGATATACTATACCGATTTTAAATTTAATTTGCTCACCCTGAACATTTACTTCCCACTTAAGCGGTAGGCTATATTGAAAATCTCAATTCATAGTCAAAATATTATACTATTGGTAATTCCAATAATACTTGATTACGAGATATCGTAAAATCATAAAATCAATTTGATCTCCTTCTAGAGTCTAGACATGGTCTAGAGCTAAGTATATGGACATTGACGAAGTAAATTTTAATATACCAACAGTTATAACTAGGCAATGTGGCGTCTTTGAAAGCCATAGATACTAAAATGATTAAAAAAAAATAAAATTGTGAATTATCCAATGGAGTTTTTGAATTCAATAGATATACCTGGAATGCCACTACAATATCTGCGATTCGAGATTAGTTCACCAATTATTCATATGTTTAATTTGAATCACCCGAAATCATAAAATGGTAACTGTTCGGTCATCAGAAAGATAACATGATATATATGTGAAGCGATTTTAACTGATTATTTTGAAGTGCATCTGTGGACGGGGTTCAGATCAATGTTGTTTGCATGCCGAACAATTTATTTATGCTGGCAAAAAAACGTAATCAGAAATATTGTGCATGAATTAGTTCCAAAATAAATTTATAGAGTGAAAAAAAATAGATTGGGTAATAACTAATATAGCAAATGCATTGTCAAAGTGATGATGAGTTATGCATTATTTATGTGAAACTTAAATAATAAAGAAATATGAAAAATATGACATAAATGAGTGGTTAAAATTTTAACGGAATACACACTCGGATCTGGGTGGTGAACATTCCACCAGTTAATTATATAGAAACGGCTCCGCCGCCAATTACCGGAAGCTAATCAGCACGATTATCAACTGATATCTTGCAATGGATTTTACCGAAGTTCAAATTTGGCACTTCTGTGCTAATTTTAAAGAATATTATGAGTACATTTATAAGACGGCAGCCTTGCTTGTATTTTCTTGATGGAAATAAATAACTGTATAGAAGCTGATAAAAACCAAGCAAAAGCAACAGTAGAAAATATATCTGTCTTGACACAAATTATGAAAAGTTACATAATTCAATTTTTTACATGTTTGCAGTGGCCTGGTAGAGTTTTGTGCTCGTTCTATAGTATAGATGTATATTTTTATATTTTTTTTTGTTTTTTTTTTAAATGTTTAAAAAATTAAATTCAAACGGAGTTCATCATCATTATATATATATATATATATATATATATATATATATACTAGCTGACCCGACAGACGTTGTTCTGTACCCAAGTCTACAATTTTACAATATTTTATACTAATATTTACTGCTTAGTTAAAAATAATAATTACTGTTTTTTTAATTACTATTTACACCAATGTATGAGTGATGTTGAATGTAGAACTGTTTCAAATAAAATGATTCTTCTCTATTCCCACAGTTAACACTTTAATTATTCATTTAACAAATATTAAAAAATGTTCAATAAAATTGTATATTAAAAACTATACACTGCGTTTTATAGAATATATATGCGGCATAATACTATATAGCATAATTTTGTTGATCGTAAGTTGAATAGAGCACATGTGAACAGGATTTGACAAATTAATTCACTTCAAATATAAACTTAAGCAATAATGTATATTGATTTATTAGTGAAAAAAATGTAATTTAGATATTAAAATTACTAAAAGCCAGTTAAAATATGGTACAAAATTATAAAAATTATAGGCAACATTATTGAAGCAATTATTTTGGGTAGAAAAATAAAAGGTGATATTGCACCTTTGCCGCGAATGCTATATAGTAATTCTTTCTGAATTTGTTGCACTTTTTAAAAGATTTCAATTTTCAACACGTGTATCTTATGCTGTGACATAAATCACAAAGGCAGACGATCATTTTTAGTGTGATAAATTTGGAAAATCAATGTTTTAGTCGTGAATAAACAAAAAATCATTCATTTATACATCCACATCTACAGGTATGACTAAAAATACTATATAACCCTTAAATGCAATAAAATAAATTGAGCTACTGGAAATTTTGTTCTATAGATCGCAGTGTATAACTTTTAATATACAATTTTATTGAACATTTTTTAATATTTGTGCTCTGTGAATTTTTTTACTGTGCTCCAATTTACTTGATATTTTGGAAATGGGCTAATCTTTATCTTAAGTTCAGAAGTGAAAACAATTTGCACTCCGTCACCATCCACCGCATTAATTGGATTATTACTCTTTTAATTCTGATTTTATCAGAACTTGTAATACACTATTTTAAAGGCGATTAAATGAGATACAACTTTCTTTATCATAAATTTTACCGTAACTTCTCTTATTGTGAAACGGCGAAGGGTTAAAGGGCTCGAAAGACCTCTGGTTGGACAGCCGCGCACTCCTTAATTAATACCTCTATCAGTATTTGTATAATCGAAAAATAATAAACAACAATAATTAGTCAGAAAAATACCTCGAATTTTCATATATATATATATATATATATATATATATATATATATATATATACCTTTATACGTATTCTTTCAGAGATATTATAATGAGAAATTGGATGTTTTTTTTTAATGTTTTTTTTTATGAAATCATGCGTTTTTTGAAAATCGTTTGTACTAAAGTTGTGGTATTTCATCATTTCATCAAGATCTCTTAAACCAAGTTAATTCCAGATGGAATACGATATATATATATATATATATATATATATATATATATATATATATACAGTACAGGCCAAAAGTTTCCGGACACATGAAAAAAATCTCATTTTCTGAGTTTTTAGTTATATTTTTCATATAAAAATAATTTTATTCAAGTTAGTTTTGTACATTCTACGTAGTATGAATATTTAGTGACTGATTTGTAACCAATTTGTGAGAAATGATAAACTAATTAGCAATGAAAATGTTAAAATGTCACTGCAGTCGATTTTCCTGAATATGACCACCATTTGCTTTGATCATTGCAGCGCATATTTTTGGTAATCTTTCGACGAGTTTTTGCAATGTTTGCGCAGGTATGTTCTTCCAGGACTCGTTAAGGCAATTCCACAGGGCAGGGAGGCTGGTTGGATGCAAATCCTTCACGTGGCGTTTAAGCTCGTCCCACAACACGCCACTCCATTATTTGAAGTATTTGTTTGTCTTGTTTTTGCTTTAAATAATTGGCACAGAGTCGGGAAGTGTGTTTAGGGTCATTATCTTGTTGAAAAATAAATTTTGGACCAATTAAATTAAGACCAGATGGAATGGCGTGGCGCTGAAGTATGCTATGATACTGTTCTTTCTTTAAAGTTCCATCTATTTTGACAAGCGATCCGACTCCATTGAATCCAAAACAACCCCAAGCCATCACTGAACCACCACCGTGCTTCACCTTCGGCAAAATACACTTAGAATTGAGTCTTTCATTACCCTTCCTACGACAATACTGACGTCGATGATTTCCGAAAAGTTCGAATTGTGACTCATCCGTCCATAACACTGATTTCCATTGATCGATGGTCCAAATTATGTGGATTTTGGCAAATTGCAATCTCTTTTGTTTATTTACTGCTCGCAGAAGTGGTTTTTTGATGGCAACACGACCAATCATACCTTTTTCTCGAAGCCGGCGATTGACCGTCGTGCGTGATATTGGCTCATACAACCGTTCATTGATTTGAGCCCGGATATTTGAAGCGGACTTGAATCGATTTGCATCGTGAAGCACGGTGGTCATTCAGTGATGGCTTGGGGTTGTTTTGGATTCAATGGAGTCGGATCGCTTGTCAAAATACATGCAACTTTAAAGAAAGAACACCATAGCATACCATACCATAGCATATTTCAGAGCCACGCCATTCCATCTGGTCTTAATTTAATTGGTCCAAAATTTATTTTTCAACAAGATAATGACCCTAAACATACTTCCCGACTCTGTGCCAATTATTTGAAGCAAAAACAAGACAAAAAAATACTTCAAATAATGGAATGGCCTGTTGTGGGACGAGCTTAAACGCGACGTGAAGGATTTGCATCCAACCAGCCTCCCTGCCCTGTAGAATTGCCTTAACGAATCCTGGAAGAACATACCTGCGCAAACATTGCAAAAACTCGTCGAAAGATTACCAAAAATATGCGCTGCAATGATTAAAGCAAATGGTGGTCATATTCAGGAAAATCGACTGCAGTGACATTTTAACATTTTCATTGCTAATTAGTTTATCATTTCTCACAAATTGGTTACAAATCAGTCACTAAATATTCATACTACGTAGAATGTACAAAACTAACTTGAATAAAATTATTTTTATATGAAAAATATAGCTAAAAACTCAGAAAATGAGATTTTTTTCATGTGTCCGGAAACTTTGGCCTGTACTGTATATATGATAAAATTGTTTCTTGAGCAGCCATCTAGTAATTAAAAACAGTTTTATTGAAAGAAAATGTTTTTATTCAGAGAACATACGTTTCGGGTCTTGATTTGACCCATCTTCAGTGCATACAAATAAATTTGAAAAACAAAAGTCGACAAAAAAGTGATAAAACGTCGAGTTATGATAAATTTTTAAAAAATGTAAAATTAAAATAAATAATATATATCTTATATATAAAAATGGAGCTAAGTAAAACTCGAAAACGGCTAAACCGATTTGGCCAGTCTTAGTCTTGAAAAATTCGTGCTAATCAGTAGGTGGTCGGAAAGATAAGATATTATTTCAAAATTGCGTATAAACTTTACATTTTTAATTTGAAAATTTTTATAGAAGCGTACCTTGAATAAAACAATGGACGGTGGCTAATAAGTGAAATGTCAAACGTTTTTGACAGATGATGTTTAATTACTTTTAATACGATGTTCTACGTAAATATTATTTAATTATGATTAAATTCTAGTAAGTAGATTTGTTCGTAGTTTTATTTATATACAAAAACGTTAGTAAACGGGCCGCAAGTGTTACTAGAAACTCAAAATATCAATCTTTTTGAAATGTTAATATGAAAATGCACTTTTTGGCGTTGTGGCACTCTTTTTTTGCAAATCATATTTTTCTCAAACACGGTGCTCTGAAAGAACTCATTTGTATAATTATATACTCATTGGTAATTATAAACCATTTTCTAGGTTATATTATTTTTTATTTATGTTATTTCAATTCAGAACCTAAATTTGGAATCAATCAAAGGGACATTTTGTCAAATAACATTTTCCCAGTTAAGCATCATATTTAAAAACAATCTATAAACAGTTTAAATCGAATAGATCAAAAACCTGCTCTTCTGCTTACCTAATCATTTTTTTATGCTACATATATTGACATAGCAGACACACGAATTATACAACTTGAGTATTAAATTGCATACTGTATCAAAAAATAAGCTGATAGTAGTCAAATTACACTCACATATACAAAAAATTATTACATCGAGAATTTTATATAATTCGTGTCCAATTAATTTAATTATGGATATTTAATTTTTAATGTTTACTAACTTTTCTATATTAATTAAAATTAGTAAAATGCGAGTTAAATAATGAAAATTCGAGTTTATAGAAATGATTAATAATTTATTGTACCATTTTATTATATGAAGCCATATCATATTTAAATTTCGGTTTCCAATTCTAATTTTCGACTCCACCTAGCACTAGAATAAAGCAGCAAGTCTGATATTATGTCAACTCATTTAAAAACATATTCAGGAAAATCGACTGCAGTGACATTTTAACATTTTCATTGCTAATTAGTTTATCATTTCTCACAAATTGGTTACAAATCAGTCACTAAATATTCATACTACGTAGAATGTACAAAACTAACTTGAATAAAATTATTTTTATATGAAAAATATAGCTAAAAACTCAGAAAATGAGATTTTTTTCATGTGTCCGGAAACTTTTGGCCTGTACTGTATATATGATAAAATTGTTTCTTGAGCAGCCATCTAGTAATTAAAAACAGTTTTATTGAAAGAAAATGTTTTTATTCAGAGAACATACGTTTCGGGTCTTGATTTGACCCATCTTCAGTGCATACAAATAAATTTGAAAAACAAAAGTCGACAAAAAAGTGATAAAACGTCGAGTTATGATAAATTTTAAAAAAATGTAAAATTAAAATAAATAATATATATCTTATATATAAAAATGGAGCTAAGTAAAACTCGAAAACGGCTAAACCGATTTGGCCAGTCTTAGTCTTGAAAAATTCGTGCTAATCAGTAGGTGGTCGGAAAGATAAGATATTATTTCAAAATTGCGTATAAACTTTACATTTTTAATTTGAAAATTTTTATAGAAGCGTACCTTGAATAAAACAATGGACGGTGGCTAATAAGTGAAATGTCAAACGTTTTTGACAGATGATGTTTAATTACTTTTAATACGATGTTCTACGTAAATATTATTTAATTATGATTAAATTCTAGTAAGTAGATTTGTTCGTAGTTTTATTTATATACAAAAACGTTAGTAAACGGGCCGCAAGTGTTACTAGAAACTCAAAATATCAATCTTTTTGAAATGTTAATATGAAAATGCACTTTTTGGCGTTGTGGCACTCTTTTTTTGCAAATCATATTTTTCTCAAACACGGTGCTCTGAAAGAACTCATTTGTATAATTATATACTCATTGGTAATTATAAACCATTTTCTAGGTTATATTATTTTTTATTTATGTTATTTCAATTCAGAACCTAAATTTGGAATCAATCAAAGGGACATTTTGTCAAATAACATTTTCCCAGTTAAGCATCATATTTAAAAACAATCTATAAACAGTTTAAATCGAATAGATCAAAAACCTGCTCTTCTGCTTACCTAATCATTTTTTTATGCTACATATATTGACATAGCAGACACACGAATTATACAACTTGAGTATTAAATTGCATACTGTATCAAAAAATAAGCTGATAGTAGTCAAATTACACTCACATATACAAAAAATTATTACATCGAGAATTTTATATAATTCGTGTCCAATTAATTTAATTATGGATATTTAATTTTTAATGTTTACTAACTTTTCTATATTAATTAAAATTAGTAAAATGCGAGTTAAATAATGAAAATTCGAGTTTATAGAAATAAATAATAATTTATTGTACCATTTTATTATATGAAGCCATATCATATTTAAATTTCGGTTTCCAATTCTAATTTTCGACTCCACCTAGCACTAGAATAAAGCAGCAAGTCTGATATTATGTCAACTCATTTAAAAACATATATTATTCTTGAAATTAATTTACTTGTGATTTTTACTTTTGTCTTATTTGAATTAAATGCAATTTTCATTAATTACAACAAATTACAATGAAAAAAAAAATTTTATAGGTGTCTTTTTTTAAGCAAATATTGGGATTTTGATTTTTTGAATAAATTAAATTTTGTAATTTTAAATTTACCTAAACAAATATAAAACAAGAAACATTTCAGATTATATTATAAAATTAAGTAACCATTATCGAAGTTTTAGGTAAATTTAGAAAATTTTTGTTTATTAAATTTTTTTTAGAATGAAATTATGCTTAAGTAATTATTGAGGACAATAATTTTTCCAAGGGGGAGGAGAACTCCTGTAATTTTTTTTTTATTATTAATCTGTCAAGGAACTGACAGACACTTTAGGGGTGGCATATTGTGTAAAAGCAATCGATAATGCTGCATTGTATAATGGCAATGCTGATATGCCAAATTCGATATCGATTGCAGTAATTATCACAATCAGCAAATATTTCAAATACGCCATCGTAAGGTGTTTGCAGTCCCATTTAAACAGTATATAAAGTACCGACATTAGTTGGTAAGTCAGAGTTGTTAGAGTTGTTTTAATTATATCATAGTTGCCATAGACACATCAGAATTGCTGTAGGCCACAGCATAGTTGCTGTTGGCCTCAGCAGAGTCGCAATATTAGTCGTGTAAAGACAATTGTTAATCATCATTGTGGGTGCTAATAAAGTGTTGTTGAAAATAGTCAATCAGTGTTGTTCTTTAGAAGTGATATTTCACCCAATATCTTAATAAGAACTCAAGGCAAATCCGAAGCTTACTATTACTATAACGACCGCTCGGCAAAGCTGTATTGACTAGGAGGTCAATACGAACCACGTTACCAACAACCCCATACATTTCATATATATATATATATATATATATATATATATATATATATATATATATATATATATATATAGTTGACCTGGCAAACGTTGTTTGCCCTTAGAAAGTATTTAAATTTTATCTCTGGACCTTTTTCCCTTCAAAATTGAAATTACTTATTTATTAGAGAGAACATGGTCCAATACAGCGAGCACTCAAATTCCGAATTATCCCGAAAATCTTTTCAGGTAACCTCACTTATCAGCCCCAAATGACGATACGGAAATATCTAGCTTAATATTGCTAAAATACTGCAGAATACCCGCTACAATTTTCTTTATCATAAAATTTTTGTTAAAAAAAAATGATAAAAAGCATTAAAAAAAATCATTCAATTGCCAATAACACAAAGAGTATTGGGCAAAACTCTTTTCTCTAAAAATTTTTTCTTTATATCGATTAAGTTATTTAAAAAAATGTACAATACCGGATAGAGGTGGCACCTCCTTCAGGATGGGTTTGTTCAAATAAGGGTATTCACTAATAATAAAATATATAAATAAGGGTATTCACTAATAGCATCGTGAAAGAAACTGTAAAATGGTAAAGATTTATGGGTTACAATAGTTTATATATATTAAATGATTCAGTTAATATAATTAAATTATAATTTGTTCTAAAGCAGTTATAATTTGTGAGTGGCTAAATAAGCTGCAAATGTAATTTGTTCTACATGAACTCTGCTTTAACTATTACCTAATGTGCATTTTAACTAAATTCTACTACAAACCATTCAACAACAATCCATTTTTAATATGATCTTATTATAAGATAACTTTAATCCTTTGACGAAATATGTGTTGACAAATTAAAAAAGGATACGGATTTCGAAATAAATTCTTTAAATCAACCTTTTCATGACAATAAGGACAAGTTTGTTTCTTTCCAACCATGCACCAGCCACGAATACAAAATTCGTGGAATACATGACTGCAAGACAATCGATAAGAGGTTTCAATTAAAGCATTATCATCATCAGTATCTACTACCAAGTAGTTTCCACATACAGCACACATATTGCTTTCCAATTGTCTAGTTGGTATGCCTTCTCGAGTATAGTACTAAAAATGTAAGAAAAAACAATTATGTTATTTCACCTTTAAAACTTGTATTATAGCATAATAGACAGAATTATACTTCATCTATTCATCGTTTCCGCAAATAAACCAATTCGAAAATTACAATATATTTTGCATAATAAAATTACATAGGAAAAATAAAACATCTATTCTAATTAACTTACTCCAATTTTTGAGGCTATTTTATCAGCACATATTTCAGCAATATCTCGACCTAGCACGCCATAATATAACCCATAAAATAGTAACAAAAAACCTAAGTCCATCCAAGAATGCGGCCTTTGATTGAAGATTAAATTGACTCCAGCAAATGTTGCCATCACCATTCCATAACCAATTATACCAAGTACAAGACTTAGTTTATACAAAAAATAAAACCATTTGTATACTAGCCTAAAATAGATAAATTTTTAATATTTCAGTTATAAATATCGGAAAAGATTTTCCTGAAACTATATATCCCAGTTGTAAAAATTAGTAAAAAAAAAACAATAATTTTTTGTAGAGTTGGGTAAATCGGGAAAGATTTATATCCAAGAATATAAAAAGTTTTGATCCACATTTTAGCCCGCAATCATAAATCTATTTTATACATTCAAAAACTGTTGCAAGAGTATTGATTGGGAATTTTTTTTTTTTATTTTATTTTCATTCTGCAATCTATAAAAATAATTATATTTAGCAGAGAATGCTGACAAGTGTTTACAGTTGGTTGTTTACAAATTAGTACATACGCCCAGTGGTGTATCTACTATAGTTAATATATAAAAAAGAAAAAACTAAAGACAAATATAGAGAAAAAAATATATATATATATAAAAATAAACTATAATAAATCTCGAGGTATTTTCCTTTTGAGCCTGGTCGGCTGGCCTTCCTGGTATAAGTTGCATGCTAGTTGGTTTGGATGTGCGCCAATTCTATTCTTATAATTACAGGCAAACATTGATATATGTTCTTGAATTGTAGGTATACCCGTGTCTTTGTGGAGAATCCATGTTGGCGTGTAGTGAGGAGCGTTTAATATTTGCCGCAGGAATTTGTTTTGTGCTCGTTGTATTATGTTTAAATTGCTCTTTTTAGCAGTACCCCAAAGTTGTAATCCGTAGGTCCACACGGGTTTGATCACAGCCTTATATATAAGTAATTTGTTGTAAGTTGATAATTCTGATTTTCTGTTTAGGAGCCAATAATAATTTTTGAAGATTAGATCTATTTGTTGTTTTTTGTTCTTTATGTGTACTTTCCAGTTGAGTTTCCTATCTAAGTGAATGCCGAGATACTTTATTGATTCTTTGGACGGAATAATTTCATCGTTGAGTACAACTGCTGGGCAAGTTTGGGTGCGAAGCGTGAAAGTTATATGAACTGATTTTGTGCTATTTACTTCTATCCTCCACAACGAAAACCATTTCTCAGCTAAGCTGAGATGGTGCTGAAGGCTGTTGGAAGCTGCAGTCGGATCTTTGTTTGTGGCGATGATGCACGTATCATCAGCAAATGTGGCTAAACTCGTGTCAGTTGAAGTTGGAAAATCAGCTGTAAAAATTAAAAATAGTGTTGGGGCGAGGACACTCCCTTGAGGCACTCCAGAATTAATTTCGGTAATATTTGAGTCCGTATCGGCGATGCTGACAAAAAAATTTCTATTTTGTAAATAGGATTTTATTAATAGGAATAAAGAATCTGGTAAACATCTTTTAACTTTATACATTAATCCGGTATGCCATACTTTGTCAAATGCCTGCTTGAGATCCAAAAAAGCCGCAGAACAGTACTCTTTATTATGCAGTGCATTGTTAATTACGTTTATTATTCTGTGAACTTGCTCAATTGTTGAATGTTTGTCTCGAAACCCAAATTGATGGTTCGTAATAAAACTTTGTTCTTGTAGGATTATTTTAATCCTTTGAAGAATTAGCTTTTCAAATATTTTCGATAGCCATTAAAAATGCATTTGGAAAAAAGTAAGTGAGTATTCTACAAAACTTCTCTAGTGTAAAAAGTGCAACCATTATTTCAATACAATCAATAACATCAAAGACTACGTACATGACATATGTTATCGTGCCAGTGTTTTGTTATAGCAGATGCTTAATACGTATTTCAAAAAATATTTATTAAGGTTTACGCACTAAACAGTCCTATAAAAATTGATTAAATTATATAAAACAACTAAAATTTGTAATAGTAAGCTACAATTAGGACATACTAACACGTGCCTTTATTGAAATAATATACCAAGTAGAAATAATTTAAATGTATTTGAGAGATATCAAGTGGAACATCGTATTGTTATATTTAATTGAAAACTTCATTTTCGAAATACATAGGTGAAAAATTTATCTGAATATCTGAATATCAATTTCGGTTGATTAAGTCAATTATTACATATTTCGGGATGTTCATGCAACTTGCCTTAAGAAAAAATGCCACCTTCAACTAGTTTAATAATTATGGGTCATATTCATAACTACGCCCCGTAAACACTACTTGTTGCCGCAATGTAACTTTTTATGTTACAAAGATATATAACAAGTGTTAACTAAATGTAATGTACGCGCAATGTATTTTGAAGTTACAAAGTTATATAACAAATGGTAACTAAATGTAATGTACACGCAATGTATTTTGAAATTACAAAGTTATATAACAAATGTTAACTAAGTGTAATGTAAGCGCAATGTACGAGGTGTGTTCAAAAAGTACCCGGAATTACTAATAATTAAATTTCGCGGGTCTGGAGTGTCTGATTGTCAAAATTTTTTTTTTATTGTGTTGGTATACATGCCCCTAAAGTATGATGAAATTTTTAGCTATATTCACTGTTTACTTTATCTGTGGTAGTCGCTAAGGTTCGACGTGTTTTTCTGAGCTCGGCGATTTTTACAATGGAAGAATTGAAAAGTCAAAGAATTTGTATTAAATTTTGCGTAAAAAATGAAATAAAGTGTTGCAAAGTGCAAAAATTCACCAGATATGGCTCCGTGTGACTTTTTCCTATTCCCAAAGTTGAAGAGACCCATGAAAGGACGGCGGTTTTCCTCGATTGAAGAAAATCGCTGAGAGTGCTCAAGGACATATCAAAAAGTGAATATCAAGGGTGCTTCGAAAATTGGAAAAAACGCTGGCATAAGTGTATTATATCTGGGGGGGACTACTTTGAAGGGGACCACATTAATGTAGACGAATAAATAAATATTTTTTTGAAAAAACGAAAATTCCGGGTACTTTTTGAACAGACCTCGTATATCGGGAGTTACAAAATTATATACATTTGTTACCTAATGTGATAAATGTGCCATGTTTTGTTAGAAAATATTTTCCACAACTTTATATTTTTAACTCCCCGGAGGGAAGATATAGTAATCGCAAAAAATCAAAAATGAAAACTTTTATATATCTTTACGTTTCAAAGGTTTCTGAATATTTTGGCATGCATTAGAAAAAATGAATGTAAAGTGTGTGTGTGCGGGAACGCCGATCAACCGATTTGAATAATTCAAAAAACATTCGATCCGTATTGATAGGGAGACGTGCTGATTAGTTTTTGGCGAAACCAGGTCTAACCGTTTCGAAGATACGGGGCAAAAAGTGTCAAAAACGGTAACTGAGTTTTTAAGAGAACGTAGCGTCCGATTTTAATAATTCAAAAAACATTTTACTTGTATTGACAAAATGAACAACTGGTAAAATTTGTCTAGCGAAGGCAGGTCTAGCGGTTATGGACTCTCAATAAAAACAAGTTAAAAAAATGTTATTTGGCGGTCAAAAATGTTTATTGAACATATGTATATCAAATTATCAGATATTTTATAGACTTTTTAATAATTTGTACCCATTTTGTATAATTTTTTTTTTGGGTTCCGTACCAAAATTTTTAATTTTGAAGTTTTTTTATATGGTGCAAGCAAATGTTCTCGACATTTTCGACAGTATGGAATAACTGATTTGTATGATTAAAAGATCATTTGGTACATACTCGATCGCGAGGCGTTTTTGCAAAAGGCAATTTTGCCGTTTCGGAGGTCTGGAGCGTAAAGGGTGTAAAAACGGTTATGCTGTTTTTGAGAGAACAGATTATCCGATTAGATTAATTCAAAAAACATTTTTCTTAAGTAGATGATTTATACAAAATTTTTACTGCCTAATGCCATTTTTTTACTAGATCTCTATAACTGCTGGACCTGCCTTTCCAAAAATTTTTCAACAGCAAATTTGGATTTATTTCTGCAGTTTACTTATAAATCAGTCGCAAATTATAATATATGATGTCTTACTAAAGTTGATTATTTACACGTGCCGGTAAGTTTATGCAATTTCTATTATGCAAAATGCCACTCTCAACTAGTTTTGAATAGTTTTGACAGTTTTAACAATTTGAAACCTACGGGTGATTTGAGAATTTTTGAAATAGTTTGAAAGATTTAATACTTTTATAAACCTGTAAAACATTCATTTTAAAACATTAACAAATTTTTGTTAACCATAATATCAAAAAGTCTATAAAAATTGTATATATATATATACTTTAATTAACATTCATTTATTTACAATTATATTTACGTAAAGCTAGAAGAACTAGTTACAAAAATACAAATTACTGGTGCAGAAAAGGAATAGCCACATGATTAGATTTAGTTATATAAGGTAGTGTTACAAATTTTTGTTTTATTTCCTTCACAGATATTGTCACTTCTCTCATAATTTTTGGGTCAAAACAATGAATATTGAATGGTTTCGAATCAAATGGTTTTGAGAATAATAATTTTGTCATTGTCGTTTTCAAACACAATATTTTATCAACATCACAAATTTTATTTATTAGAACTATTTTATTCTCAGTTGTTAAACAACAGTTATTTGATGCTATATTACTTAAAGAAAAAATGTTAAATTCAATTTTCTCTATTTTTGATGTTTTTGTCCGGTGTATTACAACTTTTAATTTGGATAAATTTATTTCTGCTTTTAATAGTTTTTTCTTCCCACATTTTGTTTACTAATTGTTGCAAGGGCTTGGGGAAATCTTGAATCTTATTTTTCACACTTCTGAAATAATTTTCAAATGGAAAACAACTAAATTTGTCTAATGAACAACCAAAATTCTGGACTTCATTAGCTAAATGGATTATATTATTAATATTGAATGTTAATCTATCTGAACCATATAAATCAGAATAACTAATAACAAAAAGTTTTAACAAGTCCCTGCCAAACTACTCGAGTTGAGATATGCCTCTCACATAGTATTCTAATGCCTAAACTGAAATGTAGAAAATTCAAAAACAATTGGTTACTTAACACAAGTTTCAAAATTACTAATCCAGAATACAACAAAAATTGTCTGTATTCAGTGGCCTTCCAATGTTTGTGATCATCTAGTCTTCCAG